GGGGGCAGCGGTCGCGGCAGGACTGGCCTGGGGCCAGTCCAAAGGCTTCAGAGGGCCTACCCCTGATCTAGACAGACTGAATTATTTTCCATAGCCCAATAAATGAATTCTGCTGACAGTGGCAGAAGCAGAATTGTGCAAACAGCAATGTTGCACCTTGTGGTCCATTGTGCATTTCACATTGCACAACAGTACGCAGTTATTGACATGTGTTGTGCAATATTGCTATTCTGCAAGGGGGTTCCGTACTACTGATGAAGTGCATCCCCACATGTTGATACTTATACTACTCTGAGAGGATGTTGGATTGCAGTCTAGGGTGCACACATGTGAGAAACTCTGTATACCCCTTTTTGACTGCAAATGCAGAAATTCAAGAGGGTTATCTCCATGTGTGTGAAAATAATATCTGTTGGAGCAGGGGCCGGCAACCTATGCCCCTCCTGGGACTTACCGGCCCAGGCGGACCCCTGCCGCCGCCATTTTGATTTCCAAAATGGCGGCCGCGACACGTTTGAGCTTGCGCAGGAGTACTACGCATGTGCAAACGAGTTGCGGCTGCCATTTTGGAAATCAAAATGGCGGCTGCAACTCATTTGCGCATGCGCAAATGCATCGTAGCAGTGGCTGTGGCTGTGCATGCCGCCATTCCCTCCCCCCTCGGCCCAGCGGAGACCAGGGCTTCGGGGGACCAGCCCAGGTCTCAAAAAGGTTGCCTACCCCTGTGTTGGAGGATTTAAAATTGCAGTTGGAATTCAGAGAATGTCCTTGTCTGGTGGAATTCTCTTTGCTGAATGTATAAAAGCATAACCATTCCTGCTACCGTGACCTAAAGGTGTTTTAATTGTATAAAATTATAAAAAAGGAAGACACTGTCTTATAAAATCATTTCAATTTTCTGTGTTTGTAAGAATGATATAATATAAAAGGAGTTTGCTGTATATTAAAGCATGCATGGAGGTTACCATTCTGTTAATAGAAGGGTGGGCAGCACATGAAATGCATTTTTTAAAAGAAAATCAAAGGTATTCTCTCAAACCTAAAGCATGAATAAAATTAAATTACAGATATATGGGTGCTGAATGATGTCATTTTTAAAACAACAACAACAACAACAACAACAACTCAATCCAGATAATTTACAGTGAATAATGACCAGATTTAGGAGCCAGTGTGGCTAGAATGGTTTGACCATTGGACTACAACTCTGGACACCAGGGTTCAAATCCCTGCTCAGCCATGGAAACCCGCTGAGTGACCTTGGGAAAGTCACACACTCTCAGCCTCAGTGCTCATTCAACTCAGCAAGGATCCCAATTTTCAGATGATATGCTAACCTATAGTCTAGATATCACCATGTCGATTTTTTTTAGGTGTGAAGATTAGCAACTAAGTGAAATTTGACAATTCACTCTCACTGTGGTGTGCTGAAAATTAATTGGATTTACCTCTTATCTGAGTAGACAATCTTTACATTCAGTTTGTAGAATATTAGACATAATTAATCATAATGTTTCCAGCTAGGAAGAGTGGCACTTAGCTTAGTGGTTAGCACAGACAGAAAGGAGTCAGTGGGCCTCATTGCAAGAGAAAAGAAAGCCGAAACAGATTGGGAAAGTAGTAGCTTTCTCATTGCCATCTCTACATTCTTTGTACCACTTCTATTCTCCCTCCCGAGGAACAGTCATAAAAGTATGCCTTTTGCCAAATGGATTTTTGCAGCATGACAAAAGGGATGCTTTTACTCCTGTGGAGAACAGAAGTGCTACTACAGCATGTGGAGAGGCATGGAGAAAACCACTGCTCTCTCACTCCGTTTCAGTTTTCTTTTCTCAAGCAATAAGGCTCAGTGTTAGTACCACCTCTGTTCTTTAGTCAGACTATGATTTTATACTGGTTAGTTAGGAGGGCCCCAACTGTGGCTGGCTAACAAACATGAGCACATGTTGACATTGAACAGAAAGCACAGTTCTACGTCCTGCGTAAGTACAATGTTTGGGGCTATTAGCTTAGGAGGAAAGTGACTAAGGGAAACATGATGGAAAAATAGAAAATTATGCTTGTTATGGTGGGATCAAAGCTTGGGAAAGTTACTTTATGGATTACAACTCCCAGAATTCCTCAGCAGTCATAAAAATATATTATTTTTAAGTTTTGGAAAGATAGGAAGGTTCCCCGCCCCCGTTCTTTCATGGCAATAGAAACCACAGTCATGCATTGATTCTGAATGTGAGAAGATAAATAAAAGGAGGCAGCTCCTTGCACACTGTGCATACCTTGGTCAAATTATAACAGTGACCACCAACTTGGAAAAAATTTGAAAGGGAATTGGACAAACTCATGAATGTTAATGATGTCAGTACCTACATCAGGACAAGATGATTGTTGGTTGAGTACCCCTTATTCAAAATGCTTGGGACCAGAAGTGAATTTTGTCAGATTTTGAAATGCCTGTATTTACAGATACATAATGCAAGTAGAATAGTACATCCTGTATTTGTGAAGATGGAGAGAGATGCGAGACTGGAGAAAGACTTAAGGATCTGTGAAATGGCAGGAATCCAAGTGTAGTGCTTGGCGTGAATCTATGTCTCCTGCCATTTCACAGATCTTTGTGTGTCTCTCCAGGCTTGCATTTCATTAGTTTACTACTTGTATTGTGCATGAGATGTGAGGCTGGAGAGAAACTGACGATCTGAGAGATGGACAAGCAGGAGGCTGGCAGCAAAAAGTTTTGGCTTTTGGATTTCAGACTAAGGCTGCTCAACCTGTATTCCCTCCAATGCCAGACAGTAAGCATCTGTTCTTTTCTATGCCACACAATTATAGCACTTCCATACCACTTAAACAGCCATGGCTCCATCCTATAGACTCATGGGATCTGTAGTTCTGCAAAGTTTTTAGAATTCTCTGTCAGAAATCTTTCATGCCTCCCCAAACTACATATCCCAGTATTCCATAAAATGGAGCCAGGAAAATGAAAGCCGTATTAAAGTGCTATAACTAAGCAGTATCAAAGCAACCTGCATATGAAATGCTTGGGAAGGGTACAAGTTGGAAGGTGCCCTTGCATTCATGTCCCATTTGTTGGGCTTCCCGTACGCCACCAGTTGAAACAGAATGATGAAAGAGAGAGGTCTTTGGTCCAGGATGACTAGATGTTCCTCTTTTCCAGGACATGTCCTACATTTCATTCTTCTGTCCAGGAGGAATTTCAAAATGTCCTCTATTTTCAGCATGACTAAGAAGTATGAATTTACTTTTGTCTTACTGTTTTTAGCTTTTATTTGGTCATGTCCTACATTTTCCTTGAATGTCCTTCATTATGCGGTGCCTTGTCCTCCTTTGTGGTTATGACATTTGGTCACCCTACTTTGGTTGGACCTGGTATATCTTTTCCTATGTTATGCTCTTTAAACTGTAAGTTGTATTAATTTTTAGAAAACCCAAAACTTCACCAATCTGAGTGAGTCCAAATTTTTAGGCCTAAAGTAGCTGTTTGACTCCTGATGCAGAATATTCATAAGAAACTTGAAAAGGCTTTGTAGCTGTCTCTGAGGGACACAAAATTATGCAGGAGAGAGATTTTTGCCATCTGTTTTCATGGAGATTGTGAAAATCCCTTTTATGTTAAATGAGCTTGTCTTTGTAGGGAACAATTTAAAGAAAGTGACAACAGGAAATTGTACTTTAAATGCTTTATTGAATGCTAAGTAAAAGCATATTTACAGCGTGACACAATGAAAACATTTAATAGCAATTATTCAGAAAAAAATATGCTTAGCAGAGCAGTCTCTTCATTTTAAGTGAGAACAATATTCTTCTGAAGTGAACTGAACCTGTATGCAATAAAGAGAAGAAAACTGGATAGGATCCAAAACCACTGAGGCCAATAAAAACTAGTGGTTTAGCAATGCTTGCATCTGTTCCAACAGAGATCCAGGCAGACAAATGAAGGACAGAATCTCCCTGTTCCAGTTTATGGACAAATCCTGTACCATTTTATTTCACCCATATTCTGTTAGAGAAGTGGATTCAATTTACATAACTCTGTTTTGGAATGTGAAAATAATTCTCATCATTCATGATAAACTAAGCTGCAGTTCTCACAGTCAAAAGGCTAAAACATAGTAATGTCTAAAGACTAAAAGCATGCTCACTCAGGCTGCATCTGCACTGCAAAAATAATCCAGTCTGACACCACTTTAACTGCTATGGCTCAGTACTATGGAATTCTGGGATTTTTAATTGGTTGTAGCACCAGAGCTCTCCGACAGAGAAGGCTAAATGTCTCACAAAACTACAGTTCCCAGAATTCCATAGCACTGAGCCATGGCAATTAAAGTGGTGTCAGACTGGATTATTTCTGCAGTGTGGGTGCAGCCACGGATGCACCTGCAAAACTACATTCAGCCTGCACTTGGGGGCCACCCCTATCATATGACAAAGTGATATGACTGCCCCAGGCAGCAGATGTTAGGTGACTGCAAGCAATTTCCTAGCTGTTCCTCAGAGGACAAGGTTGTATATGCTACACTACCTGTTCTGGGCTCCCTAAATTAATGTACTTGCTATTGCTATTGTTGTTCTGGGCTCCCTAAATTAGCCAGCTATACAAGTGTGATGTGCTGTCCCAAAAACAGTAAGTAGAATCAGCCCTCCATATCCATAGATTCTTTATCCATGGATTCAACCATCCACAGTTAGAAAATATTAATATATATATATATATATATATCTTCCAAAAAACAAATCTTGATTTTGCCATCATATATAAGAGACACCATATTACTACACCATTTTATTGAATAAGACTTGAGCATCCACAGATTTTGTTATCCACGGGGGTCCTGGAACCAAACCCCAGTGAATACTAAGGGCTGACTGTACAAGTGGCGTTATCTTCTGCGTGTGGACTCAGAAGGAATATTTGGTATCTACATTAAACAAATGGCAGCAGGGCATTGTGAGTTTGAGGTAGAAACAAGAGTAACTGGTCAGGATGCTCATGTACAGTAAACAGAACGTAATGTTTTCTGTTCCTGGAAATCCATCACAGAGAGGGGTAAAAGAAGTTGACCTATATTCGGTTACAAGAATCCTTAAAAAAAACTGGTTCTCATGGGTGGGTGTGAGCGGGGTTGGGGGAAAAAGTTATTAAAAACCCTTTAATCCAGTTTTTTTTTTGCATTGATGTTTTAATGAAAAAAATTGAATCCTGCTTATTATATTCATACTGTGAAACTTTATTTTATGTATTAGAAAGCTTGACCAACCATGTTTTACTGCTTTGTAACATTAACAATATAAAGTTAATAGGCTTTGAAATGATTTACATCTTTCAATAATAATACTATTTTTTTGCTGCTAATTATTCCCATTAAATCTGAATATATGTAGACTATACATAAAAAGACATGCAAAGTACTCTCAGTTGGTTTGGTTGAACTTACATTAATCAAAGGATTTGTTTCTGCAGTAGAGGGTGCATGGGATCAAGCCAAGGGGTCAAACCAAGAGCATAGTCAAACAGTCCAAGAAGGTCAAGGGTTCCAGAGTAGCAAGATGATCAGGTAGTCCAAGAATCAAGGGTCCAAGCCAAGAAGACAAACTGAAGGTCAGGAAGCAGCATGCTTTCACTAACAAACCCAGATAACTTCTGCCGAAAGCTCTGGCATTCTTCCTAGACTTTTATCATCAGCCCTCATTAGTGCAGGGGGTCTTGATAAGCTGGCATTTTTCATAAAGCCTCC